CCCTTCCAAAGACTCGAATCGATGCACAATGCTCCAAAACTAGCCAATAATTATGCAAATCCATTAATATATGTTCAATTACTCATTACAATCCAATTTATAACAATTCCTAACCCCGATCGAAAAGTTGACAAAATTGCCCTCGGGCCCACTTGCCCGGATTCCGAAATTTTTCGAAGATAAAGTTTACCCATAATCTCACGATCCCAAATATATAATTTGCTCTCAGTTTCATGCCCAAAATCGTGGTCAAAATTCAAGAATATCAAATTTCTAGGTCTTCCTCAAAACCATAAATTTTCACTAATTTCCATGTTAAAATTCATACATAATGTATTTAACGCCTAATAAGTGGGGATAACTTACCTTGCCATTGAATGATGAAACCCCCTCTTGAAATCCTCCAAGAATCGCCCAAGCCAAGAGAAAAATGAAAGAAATGGGCCAAATCCCGTCTTAAAACAACTCACTGCCCAGCACTGCCCTTCTTCGCGAACGCGGAAATGCCCTCGCGTTCGCGAAGCACAACCTGCTTCAGCCCCAAAATTTCTTCATCGCATTCACGACCCGACGCTCGCGTTCGCGAAGACCAGTTCCCGGACCCTACGCGTTCGCGTTCCAGGCCTCGCGTACGCGTAGGCCAACGGCCTCAGGCCCCGCTCCCCTCTTTCCTTCTACGCGTTTGCGATCTCCCATACCCGTTCGCGTAGTCAACTCAGCCCACCCCTTCGCGTTCACGATTTCCACTCCGCGTTCTCGAAGGCCAAATCCAGCAGCCTCCCACTTTCCTTTTCGCAAATGCGGGACTCCCTTCGCGTTCGCGAAGAAGGAAACCAGATACCAGCAATCAGCAGCAACTTTTTATCCAAATTCGATCCGAAACCACCCCGAAACACACCCGGGGCCCCCGGGACCCCGTCCAATCACACCAACCAGTCCTAAAACACATTACGGACTTGTTCGAGGCCTCAAGTCATATCAAACAACGCTAAAATCATGAATCGACCTCCAATCCAAGCTTAATGAACTTTAGAAATTTCATACTTCTACATTCGATGCCAAAACATATCAAATCACGTCCGACTGACCCCAAATTTTGCACACATGTCATTTTTGACATTACGGACCTACTCCAACTTCCAGAATCGAATTACGACCCCAATATCAAAAAGTCAACTCTCGGTCAAACATCTCAAAAACCTTCAAACCTCTATCTTTAGCCAAATGACTCCAAAATGACCCATGGACCTCCGAATTCACTTCCGATCGCGCTCCCAACACCAGAATCACCATACGGAACTATTCCCAGACTCGGAACCCCAAACGGATATCGATAACATTGAAATGCACTTCAACCCAAACTTATAAAATTCTTCCAAAAATGCTAACTTCTACAATAGGTGCTCAAACTTTCCCGGGTCTTCCAAAGCCCGACCCGGACATACGCCCAAGTCCGAAATCATCATACGAACCTGCTGGAACCTTCAGATCCTGATTCCGAGGTCGTTTACTCAAATATTAGTTAGTTCTTCCAACTCAAGGCTCTCGAAATGAGAATTCTCTTTCCAATCGACTCTGAAATTCCCGAAATTCAATTCCGACCATGCATACCAGTCATAATACCTGAAGTGAAGCTACTCAGGGCCTCAAACTGCTGAATAACGCGCTAGAGCTCAAAATGACCGGTCGGATCGTTACAATTTTTGCTAACTGATGTCCCGAAATTCGGTTAGTCCGGTAACCCATTAATGGGTTTTTACCGGGTTCCAGCCCGGTCCAGCCTAGTTACCGTTGGGTAATTATTTTTTTTTACCGTTGCCAATGGTCAAATTAAAAAAGGACAGTTGGGCAACGGCCATTTATTGTATTTTTGGCCATTTCGACCAACCACTTAAGAAAATAGTCCTCCACCCCTAATAATTGATAAATTACATTTTTAACCTTTTAAAAATTATAAATAGTCCCCAATCTTCTTTATTTTTCTCAAAATTTGCTCTCTTACTACTCTAATTCTCTCTTGATAATATTGCTTATTGCTTTCAAGTTCTCAATTACTTATTATTTCAAGTTTTATCAAATATTTACTTTAACCACTACAAAATTATAATTATCAAGTGAAGTGTGGTATCGGTATAATAAAATATCAATTGAAGTGTGATATCAAATTTAGAGCGGCATCCGAACTCCCGATACACTTGTACTATCTCTTTCTTTTCTTTGGTGTTTATTTTTATTTTATTATTTAGAATTATTAATTTAGTTTTTTAATTTAATTTACATAATGGATATATTTAGAGCAGCCAAAAAATTGTGTACTAGTAGGGGTGGTAGTAATAAGAGTAAAAATCTTAAAAGATCAATGTTGGTACTGGTTCTTCTAGTAGCTTTACATATATTTCTGAAAGTTCACCTAAAAATTTAAATGTAGATTATGAGCAACTACAAGAAGATTATGGTATAGATGATAATTTAGATGATATTCAATCACCTGATAATCTTGAAGCACCACCGCCTATACCTGGTACTGCTAATCAAAATACTAGGGGTGGCGGTCGTGGTAATACAGGTAGGCCTCCCCTCCCTATTAAGAAGAATCGAAGATTAAGAAATAAGTGTTTGCAATTTTTTGAAAGACTAGAAAAAGATAAAAATTATGTAAGATGAACTATTTGTAAGGAAGTCTATAAACATGAGACCTGAGATAAGCAAGGGGGAACGGGTCAACTTCGTAGGCACATGATAGATAACCACCCTATTTCGTGGGGTGTTGATGAAGAAATTGGCCAACAAAAACTTAATCCGGGTACTAGTGATTTGATGGGCAAATACGATATAGTGAAAGATTGGGAAGAATTAGCTAAAATGATTGTTTTAAGTTGTTTACCTTTTAGTTTTGCTGCTTCACCATATCTTGTTACTTATATTCAAAGAATTTATAATCCTTTATTTTAAGGTATTCCTAGAAGTACATGTAAAGCGGATATCTTAAGGCTTTGGACAATATCAGACATATATACGTTATTTGTTCACTAGTCTTTCTTGTAGAGTTTCTCTTACATCTGATATTGGTCGTGCTGTTAATGGAAATGATTATTTGACTGTTACATTCTATTGGATAGATGATAATTTTTGTATGCAAAAACGTATTATTGCTTTTAAATATGATGAAGATCAAAGTCATACCGGTGCATTTATAAGTAATACTATCGATGAAGTTGCTATATTTTACAATCTTTCAGAAAAAGTTTTGCGTATGTCATTTGATAATGCTTCAAATAATAAAGCTGCTATCACACTATTAAAATTTCATCTACACCCACCACTTTCCTGAAATATTTCATGTGAGGTATGCATGTCATAACTATAATTTAATTGTAAAGAGTGGCCTTGAATTATTTAGAAACTAGATCAGTTTAGTTAGAAGAGCGGTTGGTGTAATTCAAGGAAATAATAGAAGTGCTAGATTAAATACATTTAAGGATAAATGTGTACAATATGGACTAAAACCAAGACTCAAGCCTGAAGAAAAAGTTATTAGGTGGAATTATACTTATTTATTCTTAAGATGTTGTTATAAATATAAAATACCTATAACTGAAATTGCTAATTCTCATTGTACCGATCCTAACCATGTGTTAACATCTAGTACTTGGGATGTCATTGAAGATGTTTTAAAATTTGTACAAAATTTCTATGTAGAAACACTTGAGTTTTCTGGAGCTTATTATCCTACTATTGCAAATGGTTTAGTATATATTGCTAAAGTTTCTCCTTTACTCCATAATTTCAAGAAGAAAGAAGGATATAATTCTGTTGTTGAATC